CCTGTCACTTGACCCCAAAAGTCATAACTGATACAGTGTTTGACTCATAAGGGCCTACACATTCTGGCATGGGAATGAGGGTGACAGCAAGTGTGAGACCAAGGACAGGCATGTGGCCCACAGTTCACATTGATTGTCTCACGGTGTATCTCCACCAACATATTGACTCCCTCTTGTGAGGGATCCCAAATCAGAGAAGACCATTCACTTCCAGGAAGAACAAGGGAGGCAGAACTGACCACTGAGGCATCTTCCTTGGCTGCTGCCACTGACCTGGGGGGGTCCTTCCTCCTGCACAGGTCATGCCTGCCATACTGACTGGACCATCCTCCTCCAGGACACCAGACTCTCAGGGGTTCTGGTTTTCCATCTGCAGAAGGCTTGCTTGTCTTGTGAGCCCTGCCCTCACAGTCAAGTCTTCTGCTGATGTGGATCAGACATATATCACTGAACAGATGTGCTTGGAATATTGTGGACATAATAGTTCAACCCTAGAGGGGCTCCATGTTGGTGCCTGGAGTTCCCACTACCAATCTGGAACAAGTAGGGCCCTTCAGTTAGGAGTGGCTTAGTCCTCTGATGACTTGTAGAACCAGTTGTGTCTTGGGACTCAGGAAGTGAACCTAGAAGGCTGCTTGTGTCTCCTTGAAGGAACTGGCATGTGGTGCCTGCCAGTTAGACTTGCTAGGTCCACCTGCGAGTCTCTGGCCTCCGGCTGCTCTGGGTGCCCTTGGCCAGCTGGCAAGACAACTGTGGATCAGACTTACCTACCTTGGAGAGTCCTTCTTCCTGGTCCACTGCTCTATGTGGCTCCTTTTGGGGAATCCCAGGTGTCTGCTGTCATCCCCCCACCTCGTTTCCTCTGGTTCTTGAATTTTCCCAAGGGAGTCTCACACATTTCTTTTTGGTATCGGCTACGTCAGTCAAAGGTCCAGGCAGGAAACAGCTGGGGCGTATTAGTTTTCTAGGGCTTTTGGAAGAAATTGCACAAACTGAGTGACTTGAGACCACAGAATGCATTGTCTCACAGTCCTGGAGGCTAGACGTCTGAAGTCAAGGTGTTGGCAGGGTCCTACGCCCCCTGAGACCTTTGGAAAGAACACATCCCTGCCTGTTCCAGACTTGAGGTGGTTGACTGGCAGTCTTTGGTGCCCTGTGGCTTGCAGCCCCTCCAATCTCGCCTTTGTCTTCACTTGGTGTTCTTCCTGTGTCTATCTTCACATAACCCCCTTCTTTAAGGACACTGGTCACATTGGATTGGGGTCCACCATACTGCAGTGTCACCTCACATTAATTCATTACATCAGCAACAACTCTATTTTGAGTGTACTGGGGGTTAGGGCACCAGATTATCTTTTATTTGAGGGACACAATTCAACCTATTGTAGCGGGAAGACAGAGAGATCGTGACACCGAGACTATTATAGGAAGTGGCACTTTATTACGCTGGCGTCCCAGTGGGCTCGAGGGGCTAATGCGTCCAAATCAAGCCCCCCAGAATGGGAGAAGTGGGGTCTTATACCCTTGTTTAGGTAAGGGAGGGGGTTGTGTTGAGTGATTACATATTTCCTTTGGAATCTTACAAGGTTGTACTCAGCAAAATCAGATTTTTTAAAGAAGAAATGGTTTTCAGGAACTGCAGGGTTGTAAACCATTTGCCTGGGGTCTTTAAATCTTGCAGCTTGCGTTTCTAAAGGAAATACCTTTAACTGCTACCAACCCCCCTTTCTGCCACATCACTATCACAAGAGGTCATCAAGGAGAGTTTCACAAAGGTGCTAGTTACAGAGGTGTGGTCAGGGTTACAGAAAACCAACCAAGGATGGAGAAGCACGACCCAGGGCTAGTAACAGCCAGGTGCCATGAACACCCCTAGGCCCAAAGGGAAGGAGGGACCTCCCGAGGGTAACTCAAGGGGACACTGGCCTGACAGGAGCCATGGCCTTCAGTGACAGTTGCAATCAAGCCCCTGTACCCTGGCAGGGAGAGGGCTGGGGGACTGAATGCCATAGCCTCACTTTTCCGCCTGCCAGCCAATTCCCAATGGCTGAGCCTAACCAGTAGCCAACACATGAGGGAGCCCATTGAAGCAGCCCACAAACACCAGCCTCTTGGGCCACTGAGATAAAGTGGTCACAGGATCTGAAGGGGCAGAGAGTGTGGCTTGAGTTTCTTTGTCTGTGTGGTCTTGCAGCCACACCTTGGGTGGCCCCTGAGGCACCAAGCAATGTGCTCTGTAAACATTCTGGTCTTAGGGCCTAGATATTAACAGGGATGATCAGGGTTTGTAATTGTTGTTGGTTTTTTTTTTCTCTGCTTCTTTTTGCTTTCCCATCTCCCAATTTTTAAAATTGAAGGGGGGTGGGTGGGAGGAAAACCACTTTTATCTCTCTCAACGTGAGATGTGAAGGCTGCTTCAAGCTCTGCAGTGCCTTGGGGCAGTCACTCCATGATTGGGACAGTCCTGGCACCTAGAATCCAGTCCTTCTGTGTCTCGGACTAACAATCTTCAATCTGTCCTCATTCTGCCCAGAGGGGCCATATCTCATAGAGCACGATCACCCTTGTTTTTCTCATCTGTGAGAATGGATTTGTCAGCCCTCCCAATGAATTGAGGTTGATGTGAAGGCCTAATGGAATTGTGGAAGAGAATACTTACTGGAGACTGTGAATGTAATTGTGTGTAATTACTGCAGTGCTCTGGGTGGTTTAGTGGTGAGGTTAGCTGTAAAATAGATTGACGCTACAGTGTCACCTGGTGTCCATTTCTTATATTGCATGAAATTTTTCCCTCCCTACGTTTCAACATGATGGGTTTTCATTTACTAGACCGGTGAGATACCCCATCTCAAGAGAGTGGCAGGGCCTGAGTGAACACAGGAATATTTGAAAGCAGTAGGGAACATTAAACTGGAGGCAGTCCAAAGCCCATGGACAGGAGATTTAACTGCAGGGCGCACAGGGTACCCGCCAGTTAGACGTGCTAGGTCCACCTGCAAGTCTCTGGCCTCCCTCTGCTCTGGGCACCCTTGACCAGCTGGCAAGACAACTGTGGATCAGACTTACCTACACTGGAGAGTCCTTCTTCCTGGTCCTCTGCTCCATGTGGCTCCTTTTGGGGAATCCCAGGTGTCTGCTGTCATCCCCCCTACCTCAGAGACCTCGCTCTCCCAGAATGTAGCTCTCGATACCAGCGTGGATACTTTAGACATAGTCCCTTCTTGCCCCTACACCCCCAAAGGGCCAATCCCTCATCCCAAGTTCTTGGTCTGGAACTTACCTGACAGGCAGAGCCCTAAAGTGAGTCAGTCAATACCCTACAACCTGAGTCGGGGTTATGGCCAAGGAGGGATAGTGGCTCCAGGCCCTCCTGTCCCAAAGCTGCCATCCCTACTCTCTGGCCGCCAATCAAGTCTCAGTCACTTACCTGCTGCTATTGTGGTCCTGAAGTTCCCTAGCCAACCTCTGTTGGCTCTGGCTTGAGCATCCCTATAGTGCTCCCTACAAGAACAATAAAACTTCTTAAAAGAAAGTTCCTTTGCTAACTCCAGGCCTGCCACACCTGCTACTTTGCTGACTCTACTAAATTCTGACCTAACATCCTGCCTCCCACAGCTGCAAGATGGAACCATCATCCTTGCCCTGGGGTGGAGTGGGCTCTGGGTGATCACAGGATCATGGGCATTTTGCTTTTTATTTTTTTGAGTTGGAGTCTCACTCTGTTGCCCAGGCTGGAGTGCAATGGCACACTCACGGCCACCCCAGAGTCAACCTGCTGGGCTCCAGTGATCCTTCCAACTCAGACTTCCAGGTAGCCGGAACTGCAGGCGCGTGCTACCACACCTGGTTAATTATTATTATTATTATTATTATTATTATTATTGTAGAGACGAGGTCTTGCCAAGTGGCCTGGGCTGGTCTCGAACCATGGGCTCAGGCAATCCACTTGCTTCGGCCCCCCAAAGTGCTGGGATTACAGACTGAGCCAATGAGCCTGGCCGCATTTTGCTTTTTAAATTAAGATTTATGTATGCACATATGTGTACCTTATATATGTTGATTGTATAAAATGACGTAGGTTCAAGGAAGAAATTTTTGCCCTCATTCATCTATAAATTTTAGAAAAGTTTGAGTCAATGCACAAAAGTATTCTACACTTTCTGAGGGCCCAAGAATCATTTACAGTTTTGTATAAGAAAAAGGGGACTATGTGACCAGCTCACCTACAAGGAGAGGATAGTGGTTTTAGATGCATTTTGCTTTATTTGAGAATGTAAGAAAAGACTGAAATGAAGTGGATACCTGGAGCAGAGAGTCTCAACATTTGTTAGCATCAACAGAGAATCTGAAAATCCAGCTCAGCTGTGCCTGGGCTCCCCTCAGGCCAGTGACATCAGTCTCCAGGCAGGGGCTGGTTCTCTGGCACTGCCAGTGCTGAAGCTGCTAGACACGTGTTTTTATGTTTAAATTAATTACCATTAAACAATACAAAAAAAACTCAGTTTCTCAGATGCTCGGGGTGGGAGGGGGGCACGTTTCCAGTACTCAGTAGCCACATGTGGCAACTGGCTGTCACATTGGACCATGCTGATTATAGGATGTTTCCATCCTTGCAGAAAGGTCAGCAGGGCAGCGCTGTCCCTGAGGGTCATCAGGTCCTGCTCCTGCTGGTGGAGGTTGACGTGTCCAGGTAGGCTTGTACAAAATGACATGGTTGGCTTTCTGAGTGTACTGCTGAGCTGGCCAGCAGCCACATTGTGTATGCATGTGGGGATTGGAAGAATTACGGTTCCTGTTTTTCTGCTGAGTTGTCACCCTACAGAGTAGGGAAGCTTCTGGAAGTGTGCCCTGGCAATGTTGAGCGGGACACACCCTGAGGCACTGGCTGGCTCCCAGCCATCCTCACTGTGACCCTCTCCCACAGGGAGACTTCAGACAAGTGAAGGGTGTGGTGTGCGTGGGGCCCCCAGTGCTGAGGACAGTACAGGAGAGCCAGCACCTGCCAGAAAAACCTTTATTCCCATAAGGGTAGCCCATTTGTTAACCTTCCTCTGGAACATTCAGCTTCTCCTTCACCCCACAGGCTACCACGGCAAAAAAGAACTCCGGGAAGAAGGTGCGGACATACACGGCGGCCTTGGGAATGGGGTTGGCCATGAAGACCTCCTGCTTCTTCCGCCTCACGGTGCGCATCACCTCCTCGGCCACCTCCACGGGGTGCACGCCATAGGCCAGCTTCCTGAAAAAGACTGAGAGGCCCCAGGCAGGGCAGGGAGTTGTGGCCTCAGTGGGGAGCAAGCCCGTCAGAACCCCGTGCATACCCTGAGACAAGGGAAGCATGGGCCATGCCCGGAGTCACGGGTTCAAGGCCCACTCTGCCATAGCAGACACAGCACCTGGGGACAGATGCTTTACCCCCCTGAGCTTCTGCGTCTTCATTTGTAAAATAAGTCTGGCTTCCTGCCCTGATAACATCTCAGGGTGGTCATGAAACGATGTGAAAGAACTTAGGAAATAAGGTGCCAGATGGATTAAGGGGCTGTTGTGTATCGTTATTGGGGAGCTGTGCTAGTCAAGAGCCTTCTGAAACCACTTGGCCTGTCCCCCACCTTGGTTCATCTTGGTCCCTTAAAATAGACCTAGAGCCCTGAGCAAGGTGTAGCATTTGTACGGTTAGCAGATTCTAGAACGGTGATAATAATTGGGTGTATTTATAGAGCACTCACTACAGGTTGATTGCTGTTCCAGAACCTTCAGTTTGCTCACAATTCTTTGAGGTAGGCGTTGCTATTTTCCCTCATTTTTAAAAGGGGAAATTGAGGCACAGAGCGATTATGATCCTTGCACATGTTCAGCCACCATGTATGGCAGAGGTAAGTTTGCAGTGCTGGGGGTCTGGCTTTAGACGCTTAGACTCCATTCTGTGCTGCCTCATTGGGAAAAGGGGAGCAGAAAGGTTAATGACCAACACCTGGCTGTTACACAGGGGAGACAGACCCAGAGACAGGCAGTCACTTGGCGAGGTCATACAGCAAGCTGAGCGACTGAGCTCAGCCAGAGCGTGGTTTGTGGGTTGCAGGCTAGATTCTCTCTGTTGGTGCCTCAGGCCCAAAGTTTTGGGGTCTCCACCCTGCTGTTCGCTAGTTGCAGAGGCTCCACCACCCCCAGACCCTTGCCTCAGGAATGTCCCTCCTGAAAGTCATTCACCCCCACCAACGAAACCAGACTGTTCCAGCCCACGTCCCGTGAGCACTTAGCTTCCCTGAAATCTCACATTTCCAGATAGAGGCTTCCCAGTTTCCTTGCTCTGGATAGACGTGGTATGACCGGATAAAGGTTGGGCTTACGGTGCTGACAACAACGTCATATTCCTCCACTTCAGCTCGGAGACAGTCAAAGAAGCCTAGTGCGGCATGCTTGGAGGCAGCATCTGGAAGAGAGGGCAGCTGAAGGTGGACATGCGCAGGCCCCCGGTCCTGCTTCCCAGCAAGCACATTGGAGACAAGACAGCCAGTTGGGCGCAGTGGCTCATGCCTGTAATCTCAGCATTGGGACGCTGAGGTGAGAGGATTGCCTGAGCTCTGGGAGTTCAAGACCAGCCTGGGCAACTTGGCAAGATCTCATCTCTACAGTAAATCAAAAGATCAGCCAGGCATGGTGGTACACACCTGTAGTTCCAGCTACTTGGAAGACTGAGGTGGAAGGATCACCTTAGCTCAGCAGGTCGAGGCTGCAGTAGCTGTGAATGTGCCACTGCACTACAGCCTGGGCAACAGAGTGAGACTCCAACTCAAAAAAGGTGGGGGGGCATGACATGCACATTCCTATAAACTCAAAGCTGGAAGGGGCCTGCAAACTCCACCCCTCACTTTATAGATGAGACAGAAAGTGCTAGAATTAGACAGAACTAGGACTGAATTCATTTAGCCACTTGCCCTTGGTGTGACCTTACTTTACCTCTTTGAAGCTCAGTTTTCTGATCATTAAAATGGGGATACTATATCCCTTGCCAAGTTATTGTAAAGATCAAATGAGAAAACATATATATATAATACCTAGCACAAGCATGAATTCCTGTTCTTTCCCAGGAAGGCTGATACCCAAAAGACTTGCCCCAGTTTCAGGGCCAGACGGTGACTGTGATGAGCCTGGAGCACAGATATCCCCTCTTGCTTCCTGCCCCCCTTTTCCTTGTAGAACCTGTCCATGTTATCTACTCACCAAATTCAGTTAGAATCATGGACACCTTGGGTTAGATAAACAAAAATCATTCCAGGAATTCAAAAAAGAGCAGAGTGGACATTTTTCAAAGCTTTGGGAAGTTAAAGCCACATTGAGAGTGTGGTGAACCCAACTTTACATCTCAGGGGTGTCAATTGGGGGCAGAGGGAGGCAGAAGGTGGACATGCCGTGGTCCCCACCACCATGCCCAGATGCCTACCACCAGACCCCTTTCCTGGTTCTCTCAGCCTGAGGAGCTGGCTGTCCCTATGTTCCTCTCCTTCCGTGCCCACTTCCAGACAACTCTTCGAAAACCATCAGCCCCTTACTGTGCTGGGTTTGAATACAGGTGCTGTGGTCTTGGGTTCTTTGCCCATACATGGGCATAATATAACCAGGCACATTGTGTCACGTCACACGTTGCCTGGCCCTCAGGAAGGCTTTGATATATTATATTTTCATGATCTCTCTGGTTTTCATCAAGGTCCCGAAGTGTGGTGAGCACCGTGAGAATTCAAGTTGAGAAGCTGGCTGGGGGAGCATGGAGAGCGGGAAAGCCCAGGCTCTGCACAGACATAGGGTCATCACTTGGCTTCAGCCGGCTGTTGCTGTGGGGAGGTGGACACTGTGGTGCCAGACTGTTCAGGAAAAGCTGGAAATTCTGCTTTTTATTGAAGTGGCCAAATTCAAATAATTAAATATGAAATAATTAATAATACACTTCAAATAAATAAACAAATAAATTTCCACGATGCTAGCCAAATCAAAACCAGTTGGGTGCCTGCTTCAGTCTGTGCCCCCAGGAGGCCCTGCCATGGTTTATATAATGGATTTGTATACATCATTTTATGCGATCCTCTCAGCACCTGTGGGAAGACTCACTGTTTACTTCATCTATTGAATGAAAAGAGACAAAGGGGCTATTATGCCCACTTTGTGAATAATGAAGTCAAGAAGCTCAGAGAGGTTATGGAAAGAGCACCCAGTTGCACAGTCAAAGGTGTCTGTGTCTCAACTTAGAATCCAGGCCTCCTGTCTTGGTTCATGGTGAACCCAATTTTATCTACATAAAAAAGACTACCATAGCCAACAGGCAAATATAAATCAAAACCACAAATGGGATACCTCTTCACACTACTAAGAAGGCTAGAATAAAAAAGATAGATAATAACTGTTGGCAAGGAGTGGAGAAAATGGAATCCTTGTGCATTGCTGGTGGGGATGTAAAATGGTGCAGCCACTTTGGAAAACAACCTGGCATATTCTTCAAACTGTTAAACAAAGCGTTGTCATGTAACCCAGCAATTCCTCTCCTGGGTATATATCCAAGAGAAATGAAAACACATGTCCATGTAAAAACTTGTACATGAATATTTATAGCAGCATTGTTCACAATGGCCAAAAAGCAGAACCAACTCAAATGTGTGCCAGTTGATGAACAGATCAACAAAATATGGTGTATCCACACAATGGAATATCAGTCAGCTGTAAGGCGGAATGTAGTACTGACACATGCTACAACATGGATGGACCTGGAAGACATTACGCTAAGGGAAAAAGCCAGACACAATATGATTCCACTTATATGAAGTGTCCAGATTAGGTAAATGTATAGAAACAGAAAGTAGATTAGGAATTGCCTAGAGCTGGAGGTGGGTGTAGAAGAATTGTAGGGCGATGGCTAAGGAGTGGGGAGTTTTCTTTTGGGCGCAATGACAATGTTCTAAAATTGTGATGATAAATGTACATTTCTGTGAATGTACTAAAAGCTACTGAGTTGTATGCTTTTAAAGGATGAAGTGTATGGTATGTGAATTATATCTCAGTACATACGAGTGTTACCCAAAAAAAGGCTATCGGCTTGTTGTTAGTTCATCTACCAGCATGTTGATTCCTTCAGTCGTCAACCATGAAGCCCCCGCAAGGGGGTGGAGGAGACCTTGGATGAGAAACTGGGGACCGAGAGTTGGGACAGAGTCAGCTCTAGCCTCACGAAGCCCTTAGTTCTGTAGCAGGGAAGACACACAGGCAGGTGACTTCCATGAGGCGTGGTTAGTGCAGGAGGGGTGGGTGTGCCTGCAACAGGAAGGGTACATGGCATGATGTGACTCCTCCAAGCCTACATGTCTGATTTTGAGCCATAGAGCCCCCAGTCTCCCCAGCAGGGCTGATGGTAAGAGAACTATGTTGTTGCATGCAGAGACATTGCATTTCCTTTGGGTAGTTGAAAGAGACTCACCCCTGTGGTCAGCAGACCCCAGGTCACTCCCATGCATCCGTCCAAAGCTAGACTAGAAGGAAGAAGAGAACCTGGGGCCGGTCCAGGGTGGCATTGTTTCAATTCTGACATTTACGTGGGAAATTCTGCACCCCTTAATTCGTCAGCTGCAGAGAAGCCAGGCCACAGCTAATGGGGGCGGAGACAGTCTTGTGAGGATTCTAAGCCCCTGAAGCTGGGTTTTGCAAATACTCCAAGGAAACTGGTGCATTTATCCCACGTGGGTTGATGACCAGAGGGCCCAGAGCCATGCCTACACCTTACCATGTCACGTCACCTCTGTCTGTGTCCCCAGCACCTGGTTTTACACACTGGAACACTGTTCACTGAATGATTAAAGGCATTGGGCAAGGAAGGGGAAAAGTCATCCAGCTCCTGAAAATAACACATGTGGAAAGTTTAAAGGTACAAGGAGCAGTGGTGAGATTCCTAAGCGGGCTGGGGAAGAGGAGAAAATGAGGGATGTGGCAAAGATGTGGGATGTGGCAAAGGGATGTGGCTTGTGAACCAAACTCCTCTCTTCTCTTCTTCCTGTGCTCCCAGAGGAACTGCATGTCCCAAGACCCTTGCAGTTAGGTGTTACTGAGTTCTCCTAGGACGTGAGCAGAGCCCATGTGTGCTTCCTCCTGGCCTGTAGACCTTGGGCATGCCTCCTCCATACTCTTTCCTCTTCTTGCCAGCCAGAACCCAAAAGAGACGGGTACCCAGTTTTGACCATGTGAAAGATGGTGTCAGTGCAAAGATTTGGCGTGATGCTGTGTCCCTCAATGACCCTGAGGGTTGGTGGTGCCCACTGACCTAAGCCATTCTATTGAGACTATTAAATGGTAATCAACTTTTCTTACATCACAGTCTTATAGAACCACAGGCTTACACTAATGAGTGCAAATGGAAAAAGGAAGATAAAACACTACTGGGGGGGAGGGGTGCTGTGGGTTGAATTGTGTGCCCTCTCGATTTATATGCTGAAGACCTAATTAATACCCAGAACCTCAGAATGTGACTATCTTTAGACACAGGGTGTTGAAAGAGGTGATTAAAATGAGGCCATTAAGCTAGGCCCTACTCCAATCTGGTGTCCTTATAGAAAGACGGAATTTGGACACAGAGCGACATCAGACATACATGTGCGCAGAGGAAAGACCATGTGAGGACACAGCATGTAGGTGGCTATCTGTAAGCCAAGGGAGAGGTCTCAGAGGAAACCAACCCTGGTGACACCTTGATCTTGGACTTCCAGACTACAAAACCGTGAGAAAAAGAAATTGCTGTTGTGTAAGCCCCCCAGCCTGTGCTATTTTGTTATGGCAGCATGAGCAAACTAATAAACTTACCCATTTTCCCCCCTCTCTTTCTCCCTATTTCCCTTCTATCCATAAAACATTGAAATTCTGGTACTGTGGTCCATGAAGAAATAAATATGCCACGTCTCTTGCCCTTCCAGAATCTACCTTATGGGAGGTGGGAATGCCTCCAGAATTTTTTCAACCAGATCCCATGAACTTATGAGGGGGCACTCCCCAGAAAACCCTGGGATTATCTTCTGGAGGGTGGGCCCCTTGTAATACACTTGGAATCTGTTCCTCTGGATCAAATGGTCAACCAAGATTTTTGTCTGGAAGTTTTGAGAAGGTTGTATTATGATTTTTGGGAGAAATATCCCGAGTTGTGGCAAACAATACCCAGATTCAGCAGTTTTTTAATCAAAAATGGCATGTCCCTGTGCCCCACCCTCCCTATTCACCTGATCTCATCCAAAGTGACCTTTTTTTTTGTTTCCCCTGATGAAAAAAGTCCTCGAGGAGAAATGCTTTGCTGATGTGGAAGAGGTAAAATAAGGCAGAAGCTCTAAACAGCATCAAAATTAATGAGTTCAGAACACTGTTTTGAGCAGTGGAAAAAGTGTCTCGATTGCATCAAACGGAGAGTACTTTGAAGGTGACTGAAGTCTAAACATGTAAAAATACACAAGTTTTATAAATAAATTCCGGTTGGGGGGGTGCATCCCTCTTCATACACCCAGACATCCTTGAACTTTTTAAAGGACTCTCACCTTTGGAGCTGCCCCTCTCCTGGAATTCTGCCCCTTTCTCTTCCTTCCTTCCTCAGAACATCTGCATTCCTCTCTCATTTTGTGATGTGCATCCATCCTTCTCTTTCCCAATTGTAATCTTTCCTGTCCTTCAAGGGGAGTCTTTATGGAGGAAGGAGCATTTTAGCTAAACTGTTGCCTTTGTGTCAGGAGTGTGACCTTCATCTGGCATTGTCATGTTCCGCCTGCCCACCTGTGAGACTATGAGCTGCTTGGGGAAAGGAGCCTCATCTTTTATGTCTCAGCATCTCCCATAGTGACTTGCATGCCACAGGTGCTCACAAAACAGGAACCGTAGGGATGAAAGAAAACCCAGCAGATGGTCTCATCCCTGAACCCCCTCCCCCATGAACCATATGCCCAGTCTTAGACATAACAGTTCTTATAATAGAAGACATATAGCAGAAGACAAAACAGTTTTATCTTAGCAACTTACAAGCCGTACGGAATGGGATTCCAAACTTCCCTTGGATGTTATTCACTAACACAATTTGGCCTGTTCTCCGTGAGATCATGTTGGGAAGCAGGGCTGGAAAACACAATGAGTCATGGCTAAAAATCCAAAGCGAGTCAGGCAGCAGCAGGAAGATTCCTTCCCCATGCCCCCAATCATGCATGGCTCTGCTTACTCCGAGGTCAATATGTTGCAAGATGGCAGAGATGAAATGGACCCTGGCAATCATTTATCTCATATTTCCAAAGAGTGGGTTGGACTTACCTGGTGAATTGCTGGGTGATTTTAAATGACCCACCAAGTGCATTTGGTGACACTGATTTCAACAGTTAGAAAGGTATTCCCTTTTCAATCATCTGATTGCCTCAAAATGTCTCATGTTGGTTTTAATGGCTCCCTTGCATGTGCTAATCTTTTAACAAAAAGAGGGAAGATTCTGAAGTTCTCAGGCTCTCTTGGGAGAACTTCCCTAGTTTAGTTTTCAGGTTGCCTTCTATTGATTGAGAGTGAAAGGGGTTTTAAATTTATATTGGTATTACAAAGATTTCCTCCTAAGGTGAATTTAAGAATGAGGAAATTTAGAAACAGATATGAAGTAAATAATAGTACAGGTGGAATGGGAATATAGTAAAAAAAATAAAAAGATGTCACTTAAAGACTCGACTTTCAGAATAGTCCATTAAACCAGCCCTTTCGTGTCAGATCGGCAAACTGAGGCCTACAGCTAGTAGTCAGGCAGATCCCTTAGCTAGTTAGAAGTTCAATCAGGAGGGCAGCCCAGTCGTGGCCATTTCCACTCCACTTTCTTTGTTCTTTATTTTGGTATCAGTGAACACTCACTGTCAAAGGTTGACAGAATGACACACCTCTGCTGGCCTGTTTGGTGTGTCCTCAGGGACTGGACTGGAGGACACTGTTATCTCTGGGGCCCCATTCTAGAAGCTCTGGGAAGTTGTCTTTCTGCCCCAAATGCTTCTTTCCCTTCGTTTGTCCTAGGACTCAGAATCCACATGGTGCAGGCTCTTAGCATGAAACTGGCTACAGAGAAGGCTGCTCTGAGATCACGCCTTCTCAGCTTCCTCTGGAGCATCCCACTCCCTAAATGGAGGTGTTCTCCATGCTGACATTCTCCCTTGAGCTTCTGCTTTGAGAAACTTTTATATTTTTGGAGGAGAAGGGCTTCAACGTTTGATTCAACTCCGTAGTCATCTTTAGCCTTGACATCCCAGACTTCAGACCTGCATTTGAACTTAGTGGTGAGAAATCTCCACCTGGGTGTCTTCTATCACACTCAAACAGGTCCACATAGGAACCTCCACTTTACTCTTTCAAAAGAGACATCCTCCTGTCTTCCCTGTTTCTTTGAAGGGGTTGGCAGAATACTGGGTCTCTTGTAGTCTGGGGATAAACCCTTTTTCTTCTTTATTTCTGAGGATAGAATCTCTACCTTTGACCAACTGTCACAGTTAGGAGCAGATCAACTTCAAGGTTGATATTGCAAAATACATGCAAAGGATAAGACAATGGCCCGAGATGTTGTATTGGAGGGAGGCCATGGATAGGAGTAAGAAGAGAGTGGCAAAGGGCAGAGCTTTGGTGGGAAGAGGGGAGTCTCACAGAGAGGGCGGTTGAAATATACAGTAAGATACCACCTAACCTCCCTTTCCTTCATTAGCACATATAGTGGGAATGTTAAAAACGTTTACCAAACAAGTAAGGATTCTTCTGAGGGACTTGGGGGATTCCATCCAGAATTGGATGATGGTCTGGTTATGTAACAGAGCCCTCCCTAGCATTCAGTGACCTAGATACCTATGGAAAAGTCAAACTCACGAGACCTTTGGTCAATGTGATGGGCCCAAAGTAATTGGCGTCCATGATCTTTTTGTCCATCTCCAGAGAAGTCTTATGGGCAGGCCCCTTCACCTTCATGCTGGCGTTGTTGAGGAGGATGTCCACGCAGCCGTAGCAATCTAGAACTTCTTTTGCCACATCCGGGACACAGCTGATGTCTGAGAGGTCCAACAGGACCAGCTTTGGGGTGAATGTCTGCTGAACCAATGAGAGAGTCAGGGCATGTGTGAGATCTCCTCCCTCTGGCTACTTTGGGGGCCCTCAATCTAAAAGACACCCCCTTTTGAAATTCAAAGATCATGGAATGATTTTAAAAAATAAAGAGGAAGAAGCAGAAATGACTCTGAGATGAAGAAGACTGAAAAAGAATCCATTCTTGAGGACCAGGGTAACAGTGACAACAAATCCAAACACAGATATGCAGTAATACGCCTAAATTTTTGGCCAAAGTTTCATAGCTGATAAATCCAAAAGAATATCACCCTTCACAGTGGTCCCCTTCAGAGACTGTACACTGATTTCAGTGGTGACATGTTTACTTTTAACATTTCCAGGCCCCTTTTCTTTTCCTTTTTTTTTTTTGAGTTGAAGTCTCACTCTGTCACCCAGACTGGAGTGCAGTGGCTGCTCCCAGTCACCACAGCCTCGACCTGCTGGGCTCCGGTGATCCTTCTGCCTCGGTCTTCCAAGTAGCCGGAACTACAGGAGCGCACGACCACACCAGACTGGTTTTTTATTTATTGTAGAGACGAGGTCTTGCCAAGTTGCCGGGGCGCATCTCGAATCCCTGGGCTCAGGCAATCCACTTGCCTTGGGCTTCTAAAGTGCCGGGATTACAGGCTGAGTCACCGAGCCCGGCCTGGAAATGCTTTTCAAATGGCTTACAAGCAGCAAGAAAATCCATCACAGTAACTTGTAGTCACATTTTGTTTTTGACCAAAATCATACATTCAACACAATATTTTGGGAGCACCTACTATGTGCCAGGCACTGTTCAGTCAGACACTTGCTGTCAACAAGACTATATTGTTCTAGAGGGAGTTGGTAGGATGATGGGAAAATTGATGATATCAAGAGATAAATGCAATCCCAGTGTGTGACAAACACTAGTCTTGAGATATGCTCCTGAGAGAGAAGCTTCCCTGGTCAAATTTGTTTGGGAAACACAAACTATTCTCTAAGTTCTTCTTGAAGATCCACAGTGTTCATTAGCATAGCAAAGGCTCTGAAAAGTCCTGCAGTAAAGAAAACAGACAACTTGCTTGTCTCAGTGTTTCCCAAATGATTGACTGCAGAACCTCATTTTTTGCCCAATGCCTAATAACATTCCAAGAAACACACTTTGGAGAATTCTATGTTGTTCCATTTGATCTATCTCCTAAAATATCAGACTTAGCTTGGAGTTACTTTTGACTGTTTTCAAACACCAAATCCAAACTCAAGGGTAAAGTTTTTTTGTTTTTGCTTTTGTTTTAATCCTGAAGGCAAGGCTGGGCACAGTGGTTCATGCCTATAATCCCAGCACTTTGGGAGGCTGAGGTGAGAGGATTGCCTGAGCCCAGGGGTTCGAGACCAGCCTGGGCAACTTGGTGAGACCTGATCTCTACAATAAATCAAGAAAAATTAGCCAGCGTGATAGTGCACGGCTGTAGTTCCAGCTACTTGGAAGGCTGAAGCAGAAGGATCACCTAAGCCCAGCAGGCCCAGGCTGCAGTGGTCATGAGCATGTCACTGTGCTCCAATCTGGATGACAGAGTGAGACTCCGACTCAAAAAAAAAAAATCCCGAAGGCAACTCTGAAGGCCATTCCCTATACCATGCTCCAGAAATGCTTTGAAAACCGAAGTGTTCACTTTCTGGAAGACTCCTTGGGAGGCTGTATCCTTTCCCTGATTTCTTTAAAGGAGATATCATTTGATATATTAAAAAAAAATAAACTGCATCATGTTTGTAGTCACAGCCCCTACCCCTGACTTTCCCAGCCTTTCGAATCCCTGTGAGTCTGACTTAAACAGAATCAAAGTGTGTGTCAGTGGCAAGAGAACACGTTTTTGTCAAGGGGAGTGGTCAAAATGAGCCCACCCCTTGTGGCTGGCAGACAGGCCCATGTCAAGGTCACTGGATTCATTGTCTCACATCCCCCAGAGCAACTATCAGATTTTCTCCACTTGGCTCAAGAGCTGGTCCTCAACAATCCATGGAATCTGAGGGTGCCCAGGAGTTACCCGTGCCGGATATTGGAAGGCCTTACCTTGCTGGGGTCTGCTACGCTGATCAAGGCATCATAAAGGTTCTCTAGTCTCTCCCAGTTCTTTCCACACAGCACCAGCCTGGCCCCACCTGTGTGGAACACCCGCGCACACTCTGTGGGGAAGAAGGAAGCAGGGCCGGACACACTGTGTGGGCGGAACCACTGACAGTAAGCCTCTCCCTTTTAGGAACTTAAGAATTCAAAGAATGCAAAAACCTTAGCACCCCGAAGTACTTTAGAGGTTATTTCATTCAATCCCCTTCTGGAGCTGAATTTTTCTTTGTCATCTCCAGTATCAGCTTGGTTGCTTCCTTTGAATGGGATCTCACAGTGGGGTGAAATGGCCCCTCCTTTGTTGGAAAATTCTGATTACTGGAAATTCTCCTTATTCTAAACAGAAAGATGACCTTATCCACCTGGCCCTCCAAGACCACAGCCTTCGAGCTGTCTCAATCTAAAGATATTAGAAGTAGCCACCAGGTTTTTTCAGACCAAATGTCACTAATTTCCTCTACATTCTCTCTGGGGATAGCTATCTCAGCCAGGGCTCTTTTTATAAGAAAAGAAAATGAAAAATGAATTTGCTTTCTGGTCTAATTAATTTTCCTCCAGGCTAATTCCTGACTCACCCAATATAGAACTTTCTCAAATGAGCATTGGCAGGTAGACACAGAATTCTTTTGTAGCAATAATACTGATATGTAAAAGCAATAAAAGCTTACCTATTTTGAGAGTTTACTTATTCTAGGAACTGTTGAAAGAGACTTATATGTTAGTTCATCTAAGTCTCATAGTGACCTAACGGGATAGTATCTTAGATTGAGCAGATCTGAGACAAGGATTCAGAGGGTCAGGATTTACTGAAGGAACGCTCTTTGAACACAGCCTATCAGGGAATGAGGACATGGAGTAAGTACCAGGCGAAGATATGGTCTCAGGTAAAGTCTAGCCTTGACTTGAACCAAGGAGGATTCTGGAGTCTGGACTCTGTTGTTGAGCTGTCCCACCTGGAGGCAAGAGCATAGGCCTTTGCACACCCAGGTCCATCAACCACTGACTGTGGGCTGCCCTTTGGGGGTGGTTGCATAGGCTGTGTAGCTTTTGGGGAAGACAATGCTCCCTGGCAGATGACAAGTCTCTGGGAAGGAGGGCCTCTGCCAGCTCTCTGCAGCTGACACTCATAGCACCTGGGGAATGGATGAACTGGCCAATAACAGGGATCAGGGAGAAGTGCCAACAGCACCTATTCTAGGGTGATACCTACTACTGTCCCATTTTACACCCAAAAGTGGTGGACCCAGACTGACCAGGGACACCAGGATAGCCGTACAGCACTGGGTGCCCACTGGAGGCTGGATATCCTGAGTGCAATGGCTCAAAGTGATCTCAGTGTTGTGCGATTTTCTCCTGCAGGGCTAAGAAACCTGATGCAGATGGAAAGAAGAAACCATCTAGACAGGACAGTTGGCTGGGATTTGATAAGTGGGCGTCGTGGGCAGAGGAATTGTGGTGTTGGAGAGAGAGCAATTGACGTGCTGGACTGTGACGTCTAAGCCAGGTGGGAGCAGGAGTGAAGGCAGAAAGGGCAGATAGACAAGACACATAGAAGGCTCTGGGGGGCGAGAGGTCTTAGTGAGGCCTAAAAACAGGTGTACTGGGCATAACCAAGAGAGCTGGGAGGAAACACGCTGTGGTCAGTCTGCAGACTGAGGGATACCCGAATCCAGAAGTAACTGTGTGAACAATGTCACCTTGAGTTGTTAGGACTGCAGAAAATGGGAGATTTCTCTCCATGTAGGGTTTTTATTGAGAAAGGGGCTGTCCGTGATGAGTCTGGATTGCAAAATGCAATAAAGATGTCATTTTGTTTCCAGGTTAATTTGATGCTGTAAATCAAGATCCCAACAGGTTTTGGAAAATAACAGAAAGGTTCTAAACTTCACATGGCATCATTCGCACACTTTAATTGGAATACTAATTATGAAGGAAAGCAAAAAATACTTTGAAAAGCAATTAGTTATTAAAATACTTTGTAAAGCTACAGAAATTCAAGCAGAGAATTAGCAGTTCAAGTCTAGACAGAAATATTCACGGAAATAGAGTCAGGTATTGTTGAGAATTAGTAAATGATAAAGTTAGCATATTGAATCAGTGGGAAAATAATATATTATTTAAAAAGTGGTATTTGGATATCTGTTTGGGAGGGGGAAAGGCTAGATGCATTATACCAAAATATACTGAATATGAAAACAGTAAAAGAACTAGATGACAGTAGAGATGAATATATACTCTGTGTTAGGGCAAGAACTTCTGAACATGCAATGGAGGAAGAAATGACATAAAGCAGAAATGATTTATAGACTTCACCCTTCTAAAAAAAAAACCATACAACAAAAACAAAAAACATAAAGAGCAAGACAAATTGAGAAAAAGTGTTTATAATGTATATGTCAGAAAAGAGTTAATTTATTTGATACACAAAGAATTCTTACAAATCAATAAGAAAAAAAAGATAAAGACCCTAATAAACAAATTGTCTAAGGAGATGAGTAAATGATTCATAAAGGAAGTACCCAGAGCTAATATACAGGGTACAGGAGTCAATATCAATAATAAAGTAGTACAGATTAAACATAAAACTAACTTTAATTTATCAGACAATCAAAAATAGAATTGGAAATACTCAGTCTTGGCAAGATGGGAGAAAAGGAGTTTGTCACACATTCACTGCTGATGCAGTATAAATTCTTACAGACTTTTGGAAAACAAACTTGACAAGTAAGTAAAGACTTTGACTCAGTAATTTCATTTATAGGTATTTTCTAAGGAGGTAGTTAAGGATATGTGCATAGATATAGTTATAATGTTGTTTATCTCAGTCCCATTTATAACAATAAAGAGTTGGAGTTCATTGTAAATGTCCAATATAGCAGGAGATCAGTGAATTATACATAGGAAATTTTGAAGCCCTTAAAAATAACTTGGCGAGACCTCATCTCTAAAAATTAGCCAGGCGTGGTAGCGCATGCCTGTAGTTCCAGCTACTTGGAAGGCTGAGGCGGAAGGATTGCCGGAGCCCAGCAGGTAGAGGCTGCGGTGGCCCAGAGGTTGACACTGCACTCCAGTCTGGGCGACAGAGTGAGACTCCAACTCAAAAAAAAAAAAAAAAAAAGGTGCAGAAATGGGTCTACTGACATGGAAAGAAGTTTACGATTGAGCAAGTTTCAAAAAAAAAAAAAGTCAAAACAGTGTGTTGAATACGATGCTGTAACACCGGACAGTGTTTGTGTGTGTGTGTGTGTGTGTGTGTGTGTGTGTGTGTGCGCGCGCATGTGTTTATGTATAAAATAGGATGGTAAATCCTATTTATATATAACATATCTATATATAACAAGAGATTGAATTCCAAGTTTAACTGAGGTACTAAGATCAAATAGATATAAAATTCCAAAGTCAAATGCCAGACCAAGATGCAGATTTTTTTTTTTTTTTTTTTGAGTTGGAGTCTCACTCTGTTGCTCCCGGCCACTGCAGCCTCGACCTACTGGGCTCCGGCGATCCTTCTGTCTCAACCTTCCAAGTAGCTGGAACTACAGGCGCACGCTACCACGCCCAGCTAATTTTTTGATTTATTGTAGAGATGCGGTCTCGCCAAGTTGCCCAGGCGGGTCGAACCCGCAGGCTCAGGCAATCCACTAGCCTCAGCCTCCCAAAGGCGTGGGATTACAGGCTGAGCCACCGAGCCCGGCTGAAGTAGACTAATTATCCTCATTTTACCAATGAGGAAGAGAAATCCTGAGAGGTTAAGTGATTTACCCAACGTCACACAGCTAGTAAGTGGTGGAGCCAGAATTTGATTTCAAATGTGATGGTTTGATTTCATAACTTAGTCATTGTTCTATATATTCACTTCTGGGAATACAAACCAGGATACTGGACAGACACTAAATGAAACATTTGGGCCTCAGCCTCCCAAAGCACAGGATTATAGGCTGAGCCACCAAGCCTGGCTAAGATGCAGATTTTCAAAGGAAATATCAAAACCCTTTTTAACGAAGTTCAACTCTCTTTACCCACAAATAGAACACAAATGGATCGAGGAAGAGAAGTAAGATGGGACTCTGAAGGAGGATTTTTCTGGAGAGAAAGTTACGTGAGTTTCTGCCCATGGGTCAAGGCTAGGGCCGTGTTTTCTCATTCCTCCCATCTTAGAGGAAAGGGGCCAGTGGGACCAGGTGAGCAGCGTGGTTCCCTGCAGTTGGGAGCCTGGCCTGATATCTATGTCACATCTGAGAAATCCCCTGGGCAAGAGCCTGAGCCCAACCGATGTCCTGTGGACAGAAGAAAGGAAAGCTGAGGGTGCTCCATAGGCATCAGCCTGCAGTGCCAAGGAAGTCACGGCACAGTGGCCAGGGGCAGGCTATGAGATGGCTGGACACCCTTCCAAAATCTGCCCAAGGGAATCTCTTAGAAGGCCAGTGAGTCTCAAAAGAGAGGGGTCTGTGTGAAGTAGACTGTCCTAAAACCAGGTGCTCAGGGGGAATTGAACGAGAAGAGAAGAAAGCCCTATGACCCCACGTCACAAACGTGCTAGTGAATATTCCCAGGGAGGCCTCTGAAGGACCCACAAAAGTGCCCACAGGGGAAGGATTCAGACTCAGTTTCAAACATGAACCAGGCCCGTGAAGCTTGAAGCCATCTTGTAACACTGACAGTCGGATGAGAGTTTTTGTTGCTCTGCTATCTCTCCTTCCCACACCTTAGCCCCCAGAAGGGTCAGAATCAGCAGGAAGCTGCCCTGCAATTTGCCCTCACTGGGGGTCGGAGCTGAGAGGGTAAATAAAGTTAAACTTCAGTGACAATGGCATGTTTATTAAATGTTAGACTGGGCATCCCAATTTCTGAATCAATACCCATCATGACCAAATATTTTAGTAATAAGGAAAGTTAGGAGACTACCTGTTTTGTTTGTTTTTTTTCCTCAAGCTGCAGAGGAAGGACTTTCTCCTCTGCATAAATTTGAAGTTGGCTATCTCACAAGGACACTTTACTCACAACTGCTAAAGCATATAGCATCGTAAAGCTGCTAAAAGAAAATAGAATAACGTGTTCAGCTGGACTCGGTAGCTCACGCATGTAATTCCAGCATTTTGGAAGGCAGAGGTAAGAGGACTGCCTGAGTCCATGGGTTCTAGACCGGCCTGGACAACATGGTGAGATCTTGTCTCTACAGTAAATTGAAAAATTAGCCGGGTGTGGTGGCACACACCTATAATTCTAGTTACTTGAAAGGCTGAAGTGGAAGGATCACCTGAACTCAGCAGGTTGTGGCTGCGGTGGCCATGAGCATGCCACTACACTCCAGCCTGGGTGACAGAGTGAGATACCTACTCAAAAAAAAAAAAACCCAGACAAATAAACAAAAAGACACAACAACAACCTTGAAAGAATGATGTATTCATACAGAATATTTCCAAGTGTGTGTGTGGGGGGGGTTCTAGGTATGTTTTATTTTCTTTTTACTTAAAAAATTCTTTGTAATTTATGTGGCTTTTACAATAACATAATTCACCTAAAGAAATTTCGTTGGGAGGCAGAAAACCTAGCCTTTCAGTGTTTAGGCTGGCATTCTGTGTGACGGTAGCAGCCATGCTGGGTGGGAGGCAGCCATGATGGTTGGATTTGACAAATCAGAAAAGTGAGGTTCAGTGAACTGAAATGAATCACCCAGAGTCCCACAGATGGTGAGTGGTGAAGCCAGGACGTGAACCTAAGGGACCTGACGTCCAGGTTGGTGGTCACTTGTATTTCACAACGGGCTGCTCTTGGCCACTGCCCACTGCTGAAAAAGGAGCACGCTGGGGGTGTGCTGTTTTCTACCCAAACACTCCTAGCCTCTCGTGGTGTATTTACAAGCTGGACACTGGGATAGGGGAGGGGCCTCCGATTAGGAGCTGGACCAAATCTCTCTGGCCCCGGCCTTGTTAGGAGAGGGAGTCAGGAGTGCTGCTCCCCATCACTGTTTCCTTTCTTCACCAACGCTATGCCTTCACCATGGGCCTGGAGGATTGGAGCCCATAGTGCACTCACTGCCTTGGAGGTGCCTAGAGGCACAACTCCAAAATACGAGGAAGGACTTCTAAAACGTGGAATTTATTTATTAAAAATTGTGCATTTATTCTTACATGTTTAACCTTCAGTCACCTTCAAAGTACTCTTCATTTGATGCAACGTGCCTATAAGAGGCTTTTTCCACTGCTCAAAACAGTTTTCAAATTCATCCATTTTGATGCCCTTTAGTGCATCTGCCATTTTTTGTTTCATCTCTTCCACACTGGCAAACGTTTCCCTTTGAGGACTTTTTTCATCCAGGAAAACAAAATTGGGGTGAGATCGGGTGAATGGGGATCATGCCATTTAGGTCATAAACTTCTGAACACACAGCACGGTGTGGGCATGTGTGCTCGTAAATCACCCATCATGAAATGGGCAAATGTGTTGAAAGAATCTCCAAAAAAATTTTCACCGAAGCTGAACACGGCCTCTCACAACAATGCTAGCTGGTACTGTGATGCCAATGAGTTCCTAGAACACTTACCCAGCAGGGGAAGCCTGTACTATGAGGGGCCTGCCGCCCCAAATAATTCCATTTTGGGGGCTCCCCCCCGTAAGTCATTTCTGCTGAAGCCAGGCCTTAGGTGTACCCAGGTATCCTTATTTTTATTCTTTATCAGATCAGCTCAGCATTTATCTTCTGTCAAGCACTTCAGCACCAGGTTTTTTCTTTTTCATCAAATAAACATAAATTGAGCCTTTCTTGCTACATTTCATCAAATCAAAGATGCCATTGACTATAAGATGTCTCCTGATTCAGAGATGATGAATGACTTTTTAAAAGATGGCCTGGGGAGATTGTAATATGCCATTGATTGAAAGACAATCAGCCTGATTTTAGAAATGTTTAGAGGAGGGAAACTGAATCTTAGAAGTGATGATAGGCAGGAGGGACTGACATTCGGCAGGTGTTCTCCGAAACAGTTCAAGTTTGGAGGTTGGATATTTTGATTGTCACTGTTGTTGAAGACCCAGTGGGTGCAAGTTGACACAATTCCCAACGTGACTCAATTGTGGGGCCTGGGGGAAGGTTTAGATGTCCTGACTTCTGTCTGTCTGTCTGATTTCCCTGGGAGACAATGGGATGCCGAGTTCCTTACTGTTCCTTGCACCACCCACAGGATTCACGTGGGTTCCATGGCACCAGGCTGTGTGGTGGCTACACAGCTGGTATCATCCCACTCAGTGCCCCTAATTTTTTTTTCTTGCCTTGGACTTGCAGTTGGAACCCGGAATCACTGTCATCAGCAGCAAGTGGAGGCGAGGTGTTTATTTCAGGTCACACACACCCAGCTTCTCAAGTTACTGCTAAATACTGGGACTGTATTTTTCTCTGCTTTGCATTTCTTTCCTGGGTGGGTCAGTGAAATCGAGCAAAAAAGAACACTGACAGTAGTCGTGACAGACTAGGCCACAGTCCTCTGCAAAATGTCATTTTGCTCCTGAGATATTTTCTGAGCACCTGATTTGTACAATGTGTGACTAAAACTGAATGAGATGTTTTTTTAAAGAACTATTAAAACAAATATGCATCTCTCAGGAATCCAGCCATCAATAGAACTGTAGTTCTACTAAATAAGACAGAAACTCAGCAAGACTATAGAAGAAAGAAACGATGCCCTCAACCAACAGGATCTGATCGACATTTGTAGAACATTCCACCCAACAACAGCAGATGCACATTCTTTTCAAGTACTCACAGAGCCCATACCAAGATAGACCATAAAACAAGCCTTGACAAATTTAAAATAAGTAAAATCATATTCTCCAACCATATTGAAATCCAACTGGAAAGCCACCAAACAGATATAGAAGAACACACATCTAAATAAGCATCTTCCCTAACCAAATGTCACTTTTAGAGGTTGTCCATTAAATAAACATTTTGTGAGTAGTTACTATATGCCAAGCATTGACCTAGGTGTTGGGATACCAGAGCGAACAGGGCACAGACTTTACCACAGGGAAGCTTGTATCCAGTAGACTGAGAAACGCACGGATATGTTAGTATGAGAAAAATGCTGAAGGTGGTATGCATACGCAAGGGGTCACGGGAGTTAAGAGGCCACTCCCATAGGAACCATCTGAGGAGCAATCAAGGTGGCACGGAAGGCTCCAGGGTGGAAGCCATATCAAGGGTCCCATGGCAGTCTGGCAGCATGACAAACGCATTCTATCTGGAGAGCAAGATTTTCCCAAAGCCTTCAATTCTGAATGGCTTCAAGTGGGCATCTCTACTCCAGTTCTCCAGGGAGACACTGGTCCCTGTTGTCTAGTGTCTGACTGACAAATGTGTGTGACCTGGCTTGCCCTGTATAAGGTAGTTTTGAGTTTGTGTCTTCCATGCCTTCACCCTTTGAATACTGATTATAATAATGCAAGTATTCTCTCTGGGAATTGTTTCTGGGACTCATGTAGGGGCCACATAGAGAGCTTATTCTATCTGCCTCGTGCTTTGTTTTCTTATCATATGCGATTGGCCCAAGTCGATCACCCATTGAAATCTAAACCATCCTCAAAGCATGTGGATCAGCTCCCATTGGGATGCTCCAGCAGGTGAGCAACAGGCTCTGAGCAAATTCTCAGAGAGTTTACAAATGTTCTCACAACAGTCCAGCCTCCCCGGAGGTACTCTTAGGAAGGGGCAATGCTCAGGACATAGGGGGCTCAATGGATACTTGTTGAGTGACTAATGCACGTTTGGCTGTGTAAGTTCCATGCCTGATTTGAAATAATAAACACAACAGCAAAAGTTGCCCTAAATGATATAACATATTTGCATTTCTTTTCTGGGTAGGTCAATGAAATATAGTCAAAAAAGAATGCTGACAGTAGTCATGACAGACTAGGCCACAGTCCTCTGAAAATGTCAATTTGCTCCTGAAATATATTTCCTGGGCATCTGATACACTGGTCATTTGGAAAGGTAAGAGTCAGAATCTTGCAAACCTAAGGGCAATTACTATCCCTCATGTCACAGATGCCATTAGCACAGGGGCCCTCTGAGACTTTCTAATTCAGGAGTTGCAAGCACAAGTACCTTCAAGGCCAGGGTGTGAAATGGTTGAAAGAATCAGGCCAAGTGTCATACAGTAGGGACTGGTGGGGTGTGTGGCACCCTGGAGTCTGCACGTTTTGCCTAACTGTGTACATTATCATCATTACTAACACTTGAGTGGTACCCACTGCAGTGCCAGGCACTGCACTAAGTACTATTTATCTATGAATTCATTTATTTGTCACAACTGCATTGTGAGGTGGAGACTGCTAGTATCACTGCTTTATAGATGAGAAATCTGAGGCAGCAAAGTGACGCGCCTAACTGGTCAGCACTGGGGCCAGGAATTGAATCCTGCTCCTAGGTCTGGGCTCACAACCAGTACACTGCCCCAACTAAGGGCTCTGCACTTTCAAAATTTCTGGAACCCCCAAGAAGGCACCACAAATCACATCTGCAGCTTAATTTTGACCCTTAGGCTGTGAGTTTGCAATCCCAGGTATTCCAGCCCCCTCATGTTTCAGGCAACGAATCTATAACCTTCAAAAATAGAGGAAACTTGCTGGTTAATGACAGATGCCGGGAGAGAATACACGACCGACCCCTTCCCACCTAGCAGGTTTGCCCACATACCACCCTGCCACCACCGGTCCTTCAGGCAGAAACGGGCACAAGTGGGAGCGAAGCGTGCTTACCCTTGCCCAGTCCTGAGATGGCATCGGTGATCACCACCACTTTGTTCTGCACAGCTGATTTTGACCACAGCCTGGACACCTCTTGGTAAATGAAGAGGAGACCGCTGATTCCCAGGAGCAGCAAGGGCAGCATCAACACGGCCATAACTCCCATCTTGTTCTGGGGGACAGCAGGGTAAAAGAGGGTTGGCCCTGCAAAGAGAGCCTGGTCGGGGCACCCAGGGCAGGGAGAGGCTCAAGGCTGCAGGATGCATTCACTTTAAACCCGGAGCCTCCTCTCCAGGGAGCTGGGCTCTGTGCATGCTTCCTAGCTGAACACCCCGTGAGCGTGCTAATCCCCAAATGTTTAACAAATAGGAAATTACTCACGGTGTCTCTGAAAACAAACCGAATCCAGGGGCCCTGCCCTCCCCAAAGGTTAATTACAAACTTAATTAAAATGGGTCTGCATTTTTAGAAGAAAATCCATGTGTTAAGGCCACTTGCTTGGGCCCTAATGGTTATTTATAGCTCTCAGTTGCACTAAAAGCCTTTCAGGGTAAATATAGTGTCTGTTCTGATATTCAAGAACACATGCTGGCCGGGTCTGATTTCAGAATTCTTGCCAGGACTTATAAAGCTCTCCTGGCTTGCCTGACTATTAGAGGTTTCCTCTGCAGTTTGGGGCTGAGCAGAAGGGGTCAGGACCTGGGATTTTCATGACAAACATCTTTGCCCTCGCTTCCTGCAACACTCATAGTCCAGTAGCTTTCAGGTAGTTCAGACAGATGTTGCAGGGGACCTCCTGGCCTTCACTTTCTAGTTGAGGATAAATAGCACAGAAATCTGTTCAATAGAACGGAACCTGTTGCAGAATGAGCCACTTGGAGGTGTGATATGAAATATCAGAAAGAGGGCTGGGGGCAGTGGCTCATGCCTATAATCCCAGCACTTTGGGAGGCTGAAGTGAGACGATTGGCCTGAGCTCATGGGTTCAAGACCAATCTGGGCAACTTGGCAAGAACTCATCTCTACAATAAATAAATATCAAAAAGAGCACAGTTTTGGGAGTGTTTCTCACCTCTCTGAGCCTTAGCTTCTTCGTCTGTAAAATAAGCATAACAGTCTTATCTTGCAGGACCATTGAGAAAGCAAAAAGGTACGCATATTGTTAACCTAACAGAGACCCTGGCCCACAAGAAGATGACCATTGTTATCATTAATAGTTAAGAATACTAACCCAGATGTTAATTTTTTTTTGCCATGCCACGAGGTGTTTTATTTTCATTAATCATACAAATATTTTTCTGTAATATCCTAGTGAAAACTGGAGAATTTGGCAGTCCGATTTGGGGGTCCCCTCAGAGACCCTTGGGCTGGTGGCATCGGCTCAGAGTGCCCAGGTTCACAGTGCAGCTTGTGGTTCATGTCCATCTTTCAGGTGGCTCTCCCTCCACATTACGACTGGGGTCTCCAAGATGATGGAAAATTTACTCCGCTTCTCCTGCTCAGTGGTCTTTTTGGTTGGCAGAGTGTACTCCAGTGTCTCTGTTTTTGGCCTTATCGAAGCTGATGATTTCCCCCCCGTCCGGTTTATCTGCCATTTTCTTTTGTTTATTTATTTACTTATTTATTTATTGTAGAGATAAGTTCCCGCCAAGTTGCCCAGACTGGTCTAGAACTCATGGGATCAAGCATTCCTCTCACCTTGGCCTCCCAAAGTGCTGGGATTATAGGCGTGATACCCATCAATTTCTTAAAACAATCCAAGGTGTCCCCCACACCAAGCCTGGGCTTCTGATGTTCCCACTAGTGTTGCTGTAGCAACAGACCAGATGTTAAATATTTTAATCATGTAAGAGGACTCAGTAGGAATGAACAGGGAGAGATAGAAATCCAGTTCGAGTACTCCAGTCTTCAAAAACTCGACTGCCAGTCACAATGTCAGAGTTTGTTTGGTAAAGACCATTGGGTTGGCCAGGAGTAGGGCAAAGAGCAGAGTAGAGGGGAATGAGGGAAATGGTATTTCTTTCTTGGAATTAGAAATAACCTGGAACACTTCTTAAAAACCCAACTTTTTATTGACATTAATATACATATTAGAAATGTGCACGTATCATAAGCATAAAACTTGGTGAGTCTTCATAAACTGATCACATCCACGTGAGCAGCACCCAGATCAAGAAGCAGAGCACTGCCAACATGCCCCATCATGCCTCTCTTCAGTCCTAAGGGTAACAACTTTCTAACTTTCCAACAACATATATTAGTTTTGCCTGTGTGTCCATATTTTCTTTTTTAACTCTAGTTAAATAGATTCACAAAGTTGTCACTCTTCTGCTCAACATGACATTTGCGAGATCCATCCATTTTGCTGCGTGAAGTTGGTGTTCATTCATTTTCATTGTGTGAACATGCCTCACATTTTTAACTCATTCTTCAGAAAGTGGGCAAGTGCAAAGGCCCTGAGGCAGAGTGTGCTTGGAAGCAAAGAGGCCAATGCACTGGAGCAGAGTGATGAGGATGGGAGGGTAATGTGTAAGGTTAAAGATGTAGTTGAGAGTCTACATCTCTTGTAGGTCGTGGTTAGACCTTTGACTTTTACTCTAAATGAGGTGGCAATTCTTGTAGGGTTTGGAGGAGAGAAAAGATACGATTTGACTTCTACTTGCAGGGAATAGATTGTAAAGGGGCAAAGGGGGAAGTGGGGAGAGTGTTGGGAGCTGGCCACGGAGGCCCACTGAGCATTAGGGATCAGGAAGGGCTCTTGACCCTGAGACCACTAGGATGCATTCAGGAGCTATTGACCCCATTTCCTCCCCCTTTCTACTCAGCACTAACCAGATTAAGCTCCTGTGAGCTCGAAACAGAAAAACTCTGAGACCGGGACAAACACAAGCTAACTTTAGAAGCTCATTGCTCCCATTCTTCCACAAACTGCAGTTTTGGCTTTCACACAACTTATAATTCAAACTCATGTCACATCTAAGAGCCTTAGTATTGGTCACAGGCTTCTGGGTCATGATCTTAGGATTTATTGAAGGTGTAAATTGTAGAATATAGTTTTAGAAGACAGCCATTTTGTTGAAAGAATGCGGCTGGGTTACTTGCAGGTAGCCCACTGTGAACTTTGGACTGGGCCACATTCCAAACATTCTGGGATGGGCCACTTTCGTTTGTAAAGTAAATACTTAAGCTTCTATAGAATTGTTTAACTTGGCATAAATCAATCAGTTTAGGATGAAAAAGGTTTATAGGCTATGTCAGTCACAGATTAGGTTATCCTTTGTTATGGGATTTTAAGATTATCATATGAAAAGGGTTTAAAGGCAATCATTGATTAAGTTTTCATGGATTAAGGTTTCTGGTGGGTGGGGGACGCCCCTCCTACATCTGACTTTGTGTATAAAAGACCTGTTGTAATTCCCAATAATTCTCATCGCTTCTGCACTAGACTGGAGTCCAGTCTCTTTCTTTCTCTCTTCTTCCCCTCAATCGCCAATGTCATCTCCACCTTTGGGGTACCTTGAACCCAGCTGGAGCTGGACTCTGGCAGGAGAGCAGTTGGATACTTTCACGATAGCAATCCAGACAAGCAATGAGGGTGGCTTTGAGGTGGTAGCAGTCAAGGTGATGAGAAGTGCCTGGAGTTGGACATATTTTGAAGGTACAGCGGTACAGCAGATAGGATTTTCTCATGGGTTGAATGGAGGAGAATACAGAAAAGAGGACTCAAAATTGACCCTAAGACTTGGACTTAAGCACTAGCAGGATAAAATTTGGTTTTGTTTGTTTGTTTTTTTTGAGATGGGGAAGGCTGCAGGAGGCAAAGATGGGGGGTATCAATTAGGAGTTCAATTTTTATCTATGTTAATTTTGAAATCCCTGTTAAATCTAAGTGGAGGTGTCAAGTGAACAGTTGGGTCTATCAGTCTGGACTATGTCCGGGGAAAAAGTCTAGGTTAGTAATGTACATTTGGGAGTTATCACAGGTAGTATTTGTAGCCATGCTACAGATTAGACATAACCCGGAACGTTTTTTAAAAACCCATTTTTTTATTGACATTAATATACATATTAGAAATGTGCACGTATTGTAAGTGTAGAGTTTGGTAAGTCTTCATAAACTGATCACATCCATGTGACCAGCACCCAAGTCTTTTAAAGGATGAGTATAGGCAGGGAAGCATTTGAGGACTGAGCTCCTGGGCACGCCAACATTTAGAGATTGACAACTTAAAGAGCAAAGGAGGCTGAAAAGGAGTGGTGGGTGTGGTGGAGAGAACTAAGAGAGTAGCGTCCCAGGAGTAAAATGAAGAAAGTGTATCCAGCAGGGTGGATGTGTTAAATTAAGTGAGCAGGAGCGTATTGGCTGGAGACTGTCTCCACAGTTTGAGTCTCTAGGTAACAAAACATAACCAAACGTAAGAGTATATTTTTTTGTACGCATAGAAAAAGAAGTACTGCCTCCCACCCTGTCCCCCAGGAAGGCAGAAGGATGGGTTTGGAGAGTGGGACATCACTGAGTCCTCATCTCAGTGCTGCTTCTGACGTGTGTGTGGCTTCAGGCACATGCTTAAACTTTCTGAATCTCAGAGTCATCACAAAGTGGAAATACTAATACTATTACCTTCCTCACTACGCCATTGTGTAGAATTAGAATATAAGAGGTGATGTGTGTACAACACATTGTATGAGCCTGGTGTCTCACTGGGGCTGATCATTTTAGTCTCTCCTTTCTTTCTGACAGCATTGTTCTAGTTCGAGTTGGTTCTTATTGTCTGGTTGCAATGTGAATCAAGCCCCATTCCTGAGGGCACTGCGCAGGTTTAGGGGAAGGAGTTGGAGGCTGCTTTTACAGGATATAGTAAAATGACATCTCAGCTGGGTGCGATGGTTCATGCCTGTAATCCCAGCACTTTGGGAGGCCGAAGTGAAAGGATTGTCTGAGTCCGCGGGTTCGAGAACAGCCTGGGCAACTTGGCAAGACCTCATCTCTACAATAAATCCAAAAATTATCTGGGCTTGGTAGTGTGTGTCTGTAGTTCCGGCTACTTAGAAGGCTGAGGTGGAAGGATCACCTGAGCTCAGTAGGTTGATACTGGGGTGGCTGTGAGTGTGCCACTGCACTTCAGACTGAGTGACAGAGTGAGACTCTAACTCAAAAGAAAAGAAAAATGTT